CCGAAGCCGGGTCTGATGAAGTCGGCTGGCGCGCCGTACTCCTTGAGCTGCAGGCTGAGAGCGGCGCACGTCTCGACGACGTTGGCTTCTCCACCGGAGATGAGGGCGCGCAGGCCCGACAGGTCAAACTTGTCGTCGAAGCGCAAACCGTCGGGCTGGTTGATGGCGCGGCGGATGCTTGCCAGGAAGAAGTTGGGCGCAAACGTGTACGCAACTCTGTTCTTGGCCAGAAGCTCGAGGAAGAAGAGCGGGTCCTTGATCATGTCGACGGCAGGGACTTGGACCTGCTCGGCTGCCAGGTTCATGGCGTGAAGGTGGATTTCAGTCAGGTTTGCAACATCTGTTGAAGGTCAGTTCTGCCCCTCACGAAACTGGAGTGTGACTTACGGTCGAATCCAATCCAGTTGAGAAACACATCTTCCGACTTGGTGTCGTGGTGGCAGCTCTTTCCTCGGATGGCCGTCAACATTTGTCCATGGCAAAGCATGACTGCTTTGGAGTGGCCAGTGCTGCCAGAGGTAAGCATCAGCGCAGCAAGGTCATCGGCACCCTTTGAAAGGCCAGTAGCATCTTGTGTGGCCTTTTCGACGGTAAACTGGGCCAAGTCCTCCACTGGCCGGAGCTTGAGGTAATCAAGGCCGCAAAAGTCGTCGATGAGACGCGAGGAAGTCAGAACAAGCGGATCCAAAAGCGTGTGCAGGTGATCAAGATGCCTCTTTCGTGCGTCTAGGTCGGAGACGAGCGGAGTCGAAACAGCCGGGACATAGCCAGCAAGGACAACGGCCCAGAACCAGGTGATGTTGTCGTAGTGGTTGTCGAAGTGGAGCAAGAATTTGGTGTCCTTGTCGGCACCCAGGCTGAGAATGGTCGACGATTTTTCTTGTGCTATTTCGAGCAGCTTCCGGTATGTGACGTGCTTCGACCCGGCCGACGACTCGAACAGGATGCCCCGGTTGGCGGGATACTCTGCGGCATTGACAAGAATCTGGGACAAGTTTTTGGCCAACATTTTGGGCTGGTGCTGGACGAGACAGGGCGCCTGCTGTCGGAACTCGTACCAAACCCTCTCTATTAAATCATTTGCTACCAGCGAGCGAAACAACTCGATTGCTGCATGCGTTTATCGGGCTCTCTAGCACGTGTATTGGTCTCGGCCTCGGCATATTCCAAGATGAACGTTCGTATTCGACTTGTCTAGGAGGTTTTTTGAGATAGATCTTCCATCAAAGGACCTACTACATCACTAAATCACCGAATTACGGATAAGAGGGTATATCCGTGTACGTAATCAGTCATGTGATGAGGGGAAGAAATTGTCTTGTTCCCTATAACTATCTACTTAAATAATAACTTCACATAACTAGAATTAGGTAGTTTTAAACATATCTAATAGCTTACTACTAATATTACGACTACTACACCTTATAAGATATTAAAGATATTATATTAAGCACGTATAGTAGAGTTATCTTAGCGTGATTCACCGTGTGATGCTAACGCCTACCGATCCCACTCCAGGTGAGGACCTAGGCGGAGCCTAATGGCCACCGACTAGGACCCGAAGAGGGTCATGCGCACAAGTAAGGACACACAAAAAGCCCTTCATGGACGAAACCTTACAAACTAAGGTTTCATCTAATATCTACTCTGAATACATTATCGTTACTACTTCATTCAACCCCCTATGATGCTAAATCTCACACACCGCTATTACGACTTAAGGATAAAGGAATTATAAAGATAGTAGTATCCTTAGCTTCGCTCTTAGTAGCTAATTCCGCCTTATAAGTCTAGAATTTAGAGGACTAAGCTTATAAAGCTAGTTATACGGACTAAGAAGCCTACTAAGCCTAAGAGCTAATTAATAGTAACCTTAGGAGACTCCTTCTCACGGCACTAAGTAGAGTAGGTCGTGCTGATTACTGACAATCAATAGGTGAGGAGTAAGAATAGACGTCGTAAGGCCTGCTAGCGACCGACTATTACTCCTCAGTCTAACTAACCACGGTTAGCGTACACGTGAACCTCAAAAACTCCTAACGCCGAACGCCATGGATCATCCGCGACGGCGGCGCGGACTGCTTATGCGCAACACTCCTAAACCTAACACGACTAGGAGTTTTCACTCCAGGAGATACTAGTCATTGTCACATTACGCATGACTAAAACAGTCAGATAGCAAGGCACCAGTTTACCAACGATGGTGCCACTACAAGCATGTTCTCGGTCCGATTGGATGATTGCCTCGAAACATGGCCTTCAATCATACCCGCAATCCAGATCCATCACTGTGGCAGCCGGGTTAGCCCGAGGATACCCGAGATACGACTTAAGGACACCCTCCCTCAGCTCACGCTTTCTCGCGTGCGAGTCCTACTCTCATGACGATTTGCCTCTGTCGAGGTTTGTTCCTTGCCGATCTTCGCTTAAGGGGATTCTCCCGACTCTCGGAAGCCGAGCCCTACAAGGTTGATGAACAGCAAAATTGACGAGAGACGAAGAAGTTTTTGCGCCTAGAGGCGTCGAATACCGAGATGGTTGTTTCATTTGTCGTCGAAGTGTCGCGTGAAAGGTGTTGTTGGTTGCGGTATTCTTTTGCGTTTTTGCTGCCAAGCTGTTTTTGTCGCGATTCAGCGGCCAACACGGACTGACCCGAGGTGTTGTCTCTTGAACATGACAAGGTAGAGATCGCAGTATAGTAAGTAGTGTCTTATCAGTGCCACAGAAACCGATAGTGTACTCAAGTGAACAATACTTGCTCAATGACACGAGCAGCAGAGATTATGCCTCTCGGCAGTTGGCGGCGAACCATTTGCCTGGAAGGTTTCCATGAGCATGTCGACCGAACCACAAATGTTCCGATAGACTTCAACGACGTCACACTCTGTCCAGTTCGACTGTCAACATGTAGCTAATCATGCTGGCTCTGTTGCCTGCAAGAGATTGCTACAGAACAAGCTTAATCTTAAAACCGGAACGAACCCGTGGCGTGAACGCCTTCCCGTGAGCTTGTGTCTTCGGGTGGCCATTTTATGAGCCTTTAAGCATGGACTCTTTCAGCCACACCGTCGCGGGCTTCCTCAAGCCGCAAGCAACTGACTCCCCTCTGCCATTCGTCACGCTGGGGGCGGTCGATGAGCCAGGTCAGCATCTCGGCGAGATTTGAGTGTGAAGATAACAGGGCTAATTCGTGGCTTCTACTACGAAAAGTTCTTCGGCACCGACTGCAGCACTGCCGCCGGGCCGCAAGACACCACCGCCGTCCATTGGGTGGCTTCCTGCTCAAAGCTGGTGACGACCATTGCTGCACTGCAGTGTGTCGAGAAGGGGTTGCTGACTCTCGATGGCGACATTGGCGACGTGCTTGCTGAATGGAAGAATCCGAAGATTTTGGTCGGTTTCGAGGAAGATGGGGAGCCCATTTTGAAGCCTGCGCAGAATCACATATCCCTCAGCTACAGTGCTGCGAGCCGCTGTTCCCAGACGATCACTTATACTCTTTCTAGGCACGTGTTGTCGCGCTCAAGCGGAATGGCGTATGCCTTTTTGGACCCTTTGATGTCAAAGTACCAAGAATGGCATGGTGCAAAGCCTAAAAATAACTTGACAATGTACGCCCTGGCGAATACGATGAGAAAAACGGAAATGGCTGATCAAGGGACCAGAGAGATTCCTTCGACGAAATTCTCATTTTCGAACCTGGAACAAGATGAAGATACTCCCCAGAAGCCGAATACGTTGGGCTGCTTGTAAGTGTTCTAAGAGTTCTCCCCTTGAACTGCCTGACTGACGAAATCTGCAGGTCGAGCGCGTAAATGGAGGCATCAAACTCGGCGAGTATATGCGCCGCAACGTCTTCGAGCCCCTCGGCATCAGGGACATGACGTTTCACCTCGAAGAGCGCGAGGACATGCGCAAGCGACAAGCTCGCATGTGGCAGCGGACTCCCGACGGAGGCCTGCAGATGCTGGACAACTGCGTCATGCCCGACCCGGTCATTGACGACTTTGGCGGCACCGGACTCTACGCGACGGTCCCTGAGCTGCTGAAGATTTACGCAGCACTGCTCCGCGATGACGAACGGTTGCTGAAGAAGGAGACGATCGATCTCATGTTTACTCCGCACATACCGACGACGGTCGACTTTGATGATGCGCGCAAGGCGTCCGTCTTTGTCCGCAACAGCGTTTTCAACAGCATTCCTGACGACACGGCCGTCAACTCGGGGCTTGGTGGCGTGATGAATACGACTCCCGTACCAGGACGGAGAGGTGCTCCGTCTCTGACGCGGTCTGGCATGTCCAATTGCTTCTGGGTTAGCATTGTCTCCTGTCCGCTCTGCTTTGTTTGTTCTAACGTGCTTTGATCAGTGGATCGATAGGGCCAATAAAATCGCCGGCGTTTTTATTTCGCAGCTTCTGCCCGGCGGAGACAACAAGACGATTGAATTACTTTCCAACTTCGAAGAGGCTGTCTACGCCGCTCAAAAGCAGAAGTACGCGAAGATTCAGTAGAGGCACGCTGATTGGCCATAGGCGTTTGCCTTTGAAACCACAAAAGCAAAGAGTTGATGATATGTGGAGTAAGTGCATTTCGATACAGATGTTTTGCGAATCAGATGCGACTTTGCGGCTCAATCTTCGTCGTGATGCGAGTAAAAACCCGTTTAATGCAGTCTGTAAACTCAGGGAGCATTCCAAGGTGAAATGGTAGAACCATCAAGCAACCAACATGTATCAAGTCCTTCACATTCTCTGCGACACATAGGCATCCAAAAATACCCTCGACTTCTTTTGCAAGCGTCCTACAATCATCATCTTCGTCTATTCTCTCTCGCGCCGTCGCAGCGCCTCAATCTCCCTGTGCCATCAGTTTCAAAACTTTCACATCCTGACAAATCCCCTATGAAAGATACAACTGCTATGGATTTTAGACTGAGCTTTGGTCAATTGGGGGCATCGGAGATGAGGAAATGGCCAAAAGCTCGGCAAAAGAAAATGTACACCGGCCGAGACTTGAACTCAGGACCTTCAGTGCTCAACACCACAACCATTCACTCAAACACGAGAAACTGGGTTGTGTTAGACTGACGTGATAACCAACTACACCACCGGTGCTGCTTCTAAGTCCAGTGGCAATTTAGAACAATATACCCTGCAGCAACTGCATTTTCCCCAAGCCGGGGGGACAAGAATCAGGTTGATTGATTGATTAATTAATTAATTAATTAATTAATTATTTTACGTCTTACTAGAGCTATAGGCTATCTAAGATAGAGCTATCTATAGGGGATACTATATACGTTTATAAGGTAAGTAGGGATGCCTATCTAAAGAGTCTTATATAATGAAGTATAATTCTTAGTATAGTATTAGTATAGGGTTATTATAGATAGATAGTTTATCTAGGCTCTTTTTAGGTAAGGGGGGGCTAAGAACTAGCCTTCCTACTATTATCTAAGTAGATAGGTAGTATAAAGTAAGAGTAATAAAAGGAAGGGGGGCGGGAAGAAGGTATATATAGAAAAGTAAATATAGTATAGGGTAGTAGGTAAGGTAGATTATATATATACTCTACTATAGCGTTCTAGTACTATCCCTAATAGTATAACTTTAAGGTTACCTAATATTTATACTAGGGGAATGGCTTTATTAGATAATAGGGATAGTTTAGGTCCTAGGAGTAATAAGTACTATTATAGTTACTATACTTTAATGCTATATAGGTACATATTATACCTCTCTTTATATAGTATTTATAGTTATACTTCTCTATAGTATAGGGGCTAGTATATAGTAAGTATTTAGTCCTATTACGACACCTAGAGGAGCTATAGCTAAATGCTTAACACTTTATATACTATATATCTAGAGTGATCTTAAGGAGCTTTATAACCCTAATACTTACTCCTATAAGATAGAGTAGCTTTAAGATAGCTATCTCTACCTCTTTTACTATATAGAAGGCTATAATAACTAATCCTACTTTTTAGGTAGCCCTCCTTTTAGCTAAAGTAAGCTAGTATAGAGTTCTAATAATAGAAAGGCTAGGATTAAAGGTACGGACCTCTTCTATAATGAATTATCTAATATTAAGTAAGTATAGGTCTTCTATAGGGATGCTATAGGTAATAACCTTATACTAGGTTTAGTTCTCCTAGACTATAGCATCTAGGAATAGGTAAGTAAAGAGGTCCTTATAGGAGGTAAGGAATTTAGAGTTATACTAGGGTAAGCTAGTAAGTAGGATGTTACCTTTCTCTATATATATTACTATTAATATAACTAGGCTAGATATACCTACGTTCTTAAAGGTATTATTAATATTATTTTATATAGAGAGAGGGTTAAAGTCTAGGAAGGGACTTTACTACTAGATAATAACCTATATATCCCGTAGGGCCTTTAGGGGAGTAGTAGCTAGCTTTATAGTTATCTTTAGGTAAGGAGTTATATATAGTTTTCTAGTAGTAGTTACTTTCTAGGCTTAGGTTACGTATAATAGGTTAGCTAGGGTTATAGGAAGGATAACTAGCTTTTATAGCTAGTAGACCTTTACTCCTAGTGTATAAGTAGTGTTTTTAAGGGAGTAAACTTAAGTAGTAAGAACTAATAATATATTACCTACGTGACCTATCTTAGTATAATCCCGTAGGATGTTACTAAGGTTATAGAGTCTTTACTTCTTACTTATATTATATATAAGGTTTATTACATATAGGATGTAAGAGAGTGCTATATTAATTACCTCCTAGGTAGTATTAAAGTTTAGATAAAATCTAAACCTAGTCCTTTTTCCTTAGTAGGTAGGGTTAGGTTTAGAGGCATCTACTAGGATAGTTCTCTTTAGTATAGTATACTATTTCTTAGTTAGGCCTAGTATAATAATTAGTAGGGATGATAGGGGGATAGGGCGTATAGAGAAGTCCTAGTCTATTTCCTTAGGTTTATTAGCTAGTTAAGTTAGTAGTAGGCTAGGCGGTATAGGGGTATCTTAGTCTATTTTCTTAGGTTTATAGTTATAGCCGTCTAGTAGAACTAGGTTAGGTAGGGCCTCCCTCTAGGGGGTAGGTATAGGTATACTTATAGTATAATACTTTAGAGGGTAGGTTTTTACTTTCTAACTTTAGTTATATACGTATAAGCCCGCGCTATAGAGTTATAGTAGGTATAGTGATTTTTAATTTTTTAAAAATTTTATATATAGTAATAACTTATTAACGCATAGGCTTTTTTTAAGAAGTAGTAGCTAAACTAAAGAAGAGTGTTTTAATATAAGGTGTAAGAATTAGGTTTCTAGGCTATATTTCGGACTTTATATAGTCTATAAGCATTCTCTAAGCCCCTTAATCTATTCTATAGCTTTTAGGGCTAAAGTAAATGTATAGAAGTAAGGTATAATGTTATATTTTAGGAAAGGAGACGAAGATTCTAATAAGATAAACGACTAACTATAGTATAATTTTAAGAGTTTCTCTTATCGCTTTATACTAGAAACCCTTAATTCTATTATTAGATAGTATAAATAGTTTTATTAAGTAAGTAGGCCTAGTAGATAGGGGTATAGTAGATACTAGGTAGTAGAAGACTTTACTAACTCACCCCTAATTAATTAATTAATTAATTAATTAATTAATTATTTTACGTCTTACTAGAGCTATAGGCTATCTAAGACGGAGCTATCTATAGGGGATACCGCATACGTTTATAAGGTAAGTAGGGATGCCCGGCTAAAGAATCTTATATAATAAAGTATAATTCTTAGTATAATATTAGTATAGGGTTATTATAGATAGATAGTTTATCTAGGCTCTTTTTAGGTAAGGGGGGGCTAAGAACTAGCCTTCCTACTATTATCTAAGTAGATAGGTAGCATGAAGTAAGAGTAAGGAAAGGAAGGGGGATAGGAAGAAGGTATATATAGAAAAGTAAATATAGTATAGGGTAGTAGGTAAGGTAGATTATATATACGCTCTACTATAGCGTTCTAGTAATCTTAGAGGCTCTATATAAGGTAGAGGAGGGGTATAAGCCTAGAGGGTATTAGGTAGATTACGGATAAAGGGGTCCTTTCCTTAATTATCTTCGGTTAGAGGGGTTCTAGGGTAGTACCTATAGGAACTATAAGTAGAGGGATTATGGAGCTTATTATTTACTCTACTAGTAGAGATTAGAATAGATTCTCTCCTCTTCTTTTTACTCTTCTTTTTTCCCTTAGTCTACTATTTACATATACTATACCCTAGTAGAAACCTTCATCTAATATATGAATTTAAGTATAAATTATCTACTAACATCTCCTTAGAATAGCTCTCTATAGGGTATAGAGGCTATTTTCCTACTATTATTATTATACGCCTTACGCGCTACCTATATAGCTTCTCTCCTAGTAGAGCTATAGAGTAGGTAGTTACTAATAAGGTATTATAGTATTTATTAGGCGGTATTATTATAGCTATAATTATCCTAGTCTATCTTACTAAACCGTACTAGGTAGGCTCTAAAGTAGCCGTAGTTTAGTTTTAATTAGAAGTAGGCTAATACTTCTAGTTATCTATACTTAGGGAGTTAGATAGATATCCTTAGTATAGGTAGGAAGTTATATATATATAACCCCTAGGATAGTAGTATCTATGCTTCCTAGTATTATATAGTATATATTATCTATTCTACTATAGTTCTTTATTATATATGTATCCTAAGGAGGGTAGTACTTAAGTAGTTATTCTCTAGGATTAGCCTAGTAGCCTCCTTTATAAGGGCGTCTACTTATAGGTTTCCTCTAATCCCTATATAGCCTAGGGCCTATAAGAAGGTAAGACTACCTTATCTAGCCATAATTAAGTGGCCTATATCTATAGCTTAAAGTTATAGACCTTAACCTAGTAGGTTAGATAGGGTTTAGAGGCGGTATAGTATAGCTTAGTTATCTATATATACTATAATCTATTACCTAGGCTATTTCTAGGCAGCTAGCTCTATAGCCCTTATAAGTACCTCTAGTTCTCTATTATATATAAGCTAGTATAGTCTAGTATTTACTCTATATCTTACTACTACTCTTATACTATCTTATTAGGTATCGTATACTATAATCCCTATACCTACTCTATTTCCTTTTAGGATAGATGAAGTATTAGAATATAGAATAACTACTTAAGTTATATATCCTATGCGTCTAATATATGCTTAGGCTTCTTATTCCTTTTAGAGGTAGCTAATCTTAACTTTATATAGCGTAGTCTTTTTCTATAGGGGAAAGGAACTATGCTTTATTAGGCTTTTAGTACCTATTACTAGGTCTAAAATTATATTCTAGATATATTTAAGTTATATCTAGTATCCTAGTATGCTCTCTAGTTTAAACTTATTAATAATTATATGTACTAGGTGTTAGTAACTAAGTTTAAAGAGTCTTATAGTATATACTTAAAGTAATATATTCCTCCTAAGGTAGGGGGGGAGAAGGCCTACTTTAATTTCTATAGGAATAATTAGGGAGGTATAAAAGGCTCCTAGGATTTAGTATAGTCTACTATTTTAAAGTATTCATCTAAGTATCTTAGAGCTACTAACTTACTAGAAAACTAGGAACCTATAATCTACTATACTTTATATATAAGTAAGGTATAGCTATTAGATAGTAGTAGGGGATAGTCTATATTATATATTAGCTAGCCGCATAAGTCGTCCTAGTAATTACTTTACTTAGACATTTTAAATTATTATATACTACCGGAATAATAGGTATATATTAAACTATATCCTAAGCTATTAGACGAGTTACTTTAGTTTTACTATATAATCTCCTAGGAGTATAATTATAGCTACCTTAGCCTTATCTAAGCTTATAAAATAGATAAGGTCTATTTTATCTTTATTAAAGTTAATAGCATACTAGGTTCTAAGTAAGAAGAGCTAGGTTACTTCCTACTAGAGGATCCGCGCATTTTTCTTCTAACTTATTAAGGAGATTATAATTAAAACATTATTAATATATAAGAGGAATCTTACTAAGTAAGAGGAAAAGAGCTTTTATATATAGATAAGAAATAGGATTAGGGAGACTAGGCTTCCTTAAGGGATTCCTAAAACTATTAGATAAAGGTCTTCTTATT